GGAACGTGCATTAATCCAGACAGATAATCAACTGTGTTAAATCCAGTTGACTTATTATTCTTCATATATATATATATACAAGTAGGTTTAAAGTTTGTAGATTTGAAACTTTTCATGTTGGAAGGGAAGTACAGTGTTAAGTCTACTGTGAGTATTAACTTGTAGCCAGTAGCTGTCACATGCTTGCACAAGTAGGAGCCAATAAAAACACTTTACTGACGATATCAAAATACTGTAAGTAGGCTTAACATGACTACATTGTATGCACAGTATTATAGCAATATGGGCAAGTAACTCACATCAATTTAAGATAGTGTAAGTTACATGCTCGGTTTAGATATAATATAAGAAGATACAACAATGCTGTACTCCTCATATGTATATAACAGGCACACACAAAGTAGAAATAATAGTTAAATGTTTAAACTATATGTTTAGTCTTCTCATTTTTTACTATTAAACATTTGATAAACTTAGTAAATAAAGTCTATTTTTTATAGATTTTTGTTTGGAAGATAATGGAACACTGTTCTTTAAATGCAAGAAATATTATAAGAGATAAGAAAAATGAAACTTTTTATTTTTGAGGCATTTTGATAAGGTGTAGAAGTTTGATAAACTGAATTCATACAAGGGTATAAATTTGTAAAAATTTTTGAATGATTTTGTTCCAAAGCATTTTGTATTTCTATATGAGTTACACTCTACACTCATCTTCTTAAATGAGAACCCTTGATAAAGAAAAACCAAATCAAACAAAAATGTTTTATCCTAATTTCAGATAGTTCACAAATACAGATAGACAGAAATACAAAGTATGCATTCTATAGGCAAATTTTCAGAATTAATTAGCAGCAACCACTTGAAATCAATGATGGATGTTTCCATTGAGTTAGTTGTAGGTTCATGTCTTTTTAATTTGAAAAAAGTTGATGCAGTCATTATTCATTATGTATTCTCAAATGAAGTTGAAAACATTTGTACCTGGATAACATCACAAAATGTGGCTATTGTAGATAGAAGATTGAAGGGTACACTGGATGATTTATTTGTGAACCCTGATCCCAGTCTTTCTACAGAAACTGTAACCAACATTCTTTGGAATAATTCAATATTTTCGCAAAAGAGCATTAGGGGGGTAGTGTATTATGGAAATACCACACATTTCACTTTTCTGTAGTTTATGTTTTAGATACACAACATGTTTAATTTTTCAAGTTCTAATTTGGAACATACGAAATCCATTCGAGGTTATGTGCTCAATTTAGTCCAAGGTGTTACTTTCTGTAGTAGAGTCTGGTCGTGGAAGATATCTATTATTTTATGAAATAGTTGTATTGTGTTCTACATCACCTTGTATATGTGAGACTGTTTTACACCTGTCATTGAAGAGTTTTTCTTCTATTTTCTAATGAAAGTAAACTGTAAATGTAATTTTGGCATTTTCAAACTAATTTACTTTTTCTTATTCAAGAGCAAAAGTGCTCTGCAAAGAATTTTCATCACTTTTCGTTGTTTCTGCTAATATCTATTGATCATATTTGATGACGAGTAACTTTATGATGACATAATATTGTCGAAACGTTGGGCATTTATAATCAAGTTTTCTTCATTACCCATTTCCAACTTCTATTGATCATGTGTTATTTCATATATTTTCGGTAAAGGTTATTTTGTTTATTCATTCTTCATTAGTTACAGCTTTTCTTCAAGTACATGTGTTTCTCTTGCATATTTCAGTTTTAAAACAATACAATTAGCCACTTAGCCATTCCTCTGTTTGTTTTCCTTGATTAATGCCACTCAGTAGCTCAGTGGTATATCCGAGGGCTTATAACGCTAAAAATTGATTTCGATACCATCAGTTGGCGTAGGCAGATAGCCCTTTGCGTAACTTTGTGTATAACAACAGCGAAATATTCATTGACAGAGTTTGTTTTTATTTGAACTTTACACAGTGTTTTGTTTTTTTCATGGAAGCTAATGTTCTAGTTGAAGCAACGCTTAAAACATTTTCTTGCAAAAAGAAATCGTGTATGCTTAGAGAGTTATCTCTTGAAGACCAGTATGTTTCAGTTACAGTTTGTAATTAAACCGAACAAGGAACAAAGACAGTGGCTTGGAACTTTGTTTGTATGATGTATGGAATAAAAATGGCCAACACTGAAAGTGTAGGTAGCGTTGCTTCAGTCATACCATGCTGTAAGACAATTACATAGTTGTAAGCGTACCAGAGATTATAGGTTGAAGATTGTTTATACCAGAAAAGTAAACTGAAAAAAGTTAATGAGAGAATACATTGATATTTTTTTTAATACACTAACTCGCTGGCTAGTAAGAGCAAAGACTACTCAACATTATATAAGTATTGGAGACATGAATTCTGAAGAACAACTGTCATGTAGGGTTCCTTGGAGCATTACAAATAATGCTGAATATTGAGATTGTACAATGAAGGGTGGAATCATTCAATGCTCATAGAATGTTTGACCATTTATGATAATAAGAAATAAAGTAAGTGGACCAAGATTCCAAGTTAACTTTCAGTAGATAAATGTGGTAATGTTCACTGATGAATTGTTCGACATTTTTGCAAGAACCCGTTAGTTTGATTCACTAGGTCTCACCTCCGCCTATTAGGTAGATGAACTAAGACGAAAAAACATTCAAGAAGGCTTTTAGAAATTAATATCACCCCTTTCAGCTTCTGTAGCACATGAGCTACTACTTTAATTAATCAATGTATTAATATCACCCCTTTCAGCTTCTGTAGCACATGAGCTACTACTTTAATTAATCAATGTATTAATATCACCATTTCAGCTT